GATTGAACACATATGTTCATATGAGTTAGTGGAGATTGAAAATATCATATCAATTTTGCTAACGTGTTGAATATGTTGTGCCGGAAAGCTCTAAACCCGCTGGGTTAATTTTTGACAAATAAAGTATAAAAAATAAAAGAATCGATAAAAACAAGTAACAAAACTAAAGCAGGAAATAAATAACAGAAAAAAAATTCCAGGATATATGCGGTTCGTCACAGATGTAACTACATCCACAGACGAAGATGATCGTTGTTCTTCACTAAATCAAATAATTTATGTTTTTCATTAAATCAAATAAATAAAATTACAAGGATATTTACTTGAAACAAATAGAGACTCGGTCTCTCACAAAGCCTTCTTCTCTACAATTTGATTTCTCTCCAAAAACCCCAAAATATGTCCCTCTATTTTTTTTTGATCTATTTCTTTCTTTAAAATAACCCAATATATAAAAAAAACAAACCCCAAAGAGGTGGTACGTGGGGCTCTATCTTTTCGAATAACGTTAGGAAACTTAACTTAAAGGAAACTAATCTCTTAAAATTAGGGATTCAAGAATTCAAGATAAATATTAACAAATATCTACCTTAATTTGAATTCCAAAAGAGATTTCCATCGACCATTTTCTCTACACTACATTGGCAACGCATTAGTCAAGTCAAGCATAGCTTGAACTTCTAGAACCCCCTTTGTCAACATATCTGCTTCAATTTTCTTAGTGTCAATCTTATATAATATGATATCATATATAATCTCACATATAAAATGGTATCTGGCATCAATATGCTTCGTCCTTGCTTGGCTTCGCCAAATGTATTTGTTGGACGTGCACAACAAGTGGTATCAAAGTCCTGGTTTAGGGTTTTTTGTATGACTGTGAAAGCTTTGAATGCAAGATTCGAGGTAGAAAAATTTGATACCAAACACTATTTTTTCAACAAGAATGATGAAAAAAATTATTCGGCAAAAGATACAAAATTTATGAAGCTATCCAATAGGTGTTGGCATGGTGAGCAGGTGAGTTTTATATCAAGGTAAAGATTATTAGATTTGGGGCTATCCAAAATCACTCACATAAAGAAATCTCATATTATTACGTGTGATTGCTATTAACCAATTAGATATTCTTTATCTATTTGGATTAGGATGAAATTGATGACCTATATTTAAAGAGATAAATATTAGTTTCCCATAAAAGACAGAATAGAATCCGTAAAAGAAGGAATAGAATGGGCGAAGCCTTTTTTATGAGTCTATTTTCTCTTTATAATGGGTTGGAAACTTTTGGGGGTTTTTGCAGAGAAAGAAAATTATAGAGAATAAAGCTTTGTAGGAGATTGAGTCTCTGGTTGTCTCAAGTAAATTGTTTTTTTGATTTAGTAAAAAATATCGATCGTCTTCGTCCGTAGATGTAGTCAAACCACAGAAATCCTAGTGTTCTTTTTCTGTTATTTATTTCCTGCTTCATTTTTGTTGTTTTTGTCTATTCTTTTATTTCTCATACTTTATTTGCCAAAAATCAATCCATCAGGTTTGGAGATTCTGTGCACAACATAATATTGTTAGGTTTGATAATAGCATGATAAATATTGTTAAGTTTGGTGATAACCAAAATCGACATTTCTATATTTTCCTAAAAAATTCAGGGTATTAAAGTCTTTTGATAAAACAAGAATGGGTTTTCTTTAGGAGCCAACAAGGAACCATCATCATCTTACATTTGATGACCATGGACACAAATAATACTCATCTATGAGTTATGGGAATAGGTGACTCCAATGGGAGAAGTACGGATTCAAAGAAAGAGAAGAAGGATCTCTTCTAGAGAGAACTTTTGACTAAGAGAAAGAGAGGTGGTAGTCCAATATGATTTTGAGTTGGTTCAATATCTACTTTTAAAACGAGAGTATTTGAATGCACTTAAGGCTCTCTTTTCAATAGTAGCATTGTAGTGGGAAAGACGTGATTGATCAACGGTGTTGTTCATTCGAGGGTGTTGTTCGTTCGAGGGAGTACGTTTAAAAATATGTGTTTGATCAACGGTGTTGTTCGTTCGAGGGTGTACGTTTAAAAAGAAAAACGACAAAGGTTTTGCATTTCTTTAAAGAAAAATATATCTTATGTAACCCTAACCTTTAATTATCATGAATAATGAATTTCGATTTGCCATGTCCGTACACATACAAAAGCTCATTATGTTGAGCAACAAGGGCAAGCTTTGGACTCCCTTTGACATATACCGAATTTTCATCTATCCTTATCTATCCATAAGTGGTTCTGCTGAAATTTGAAAGAACTTCATTGAAAATGCACCCACCGCCCCTTTCCCCAAAAGATATCTTTATGAAAATTTAGAAATCATAAGGTAGACCTAATCAGCTCATTCTATAGAAAAAATGAGTTGGTTCAGCCAACCAAACTTTGTAGGCCCTAAAGTTTGGCACCAAAATTTGTTAGGAAAAATAACAAGTCCCATGGTCCCAATATATCAAATTAACAACAAAACCAAGCCACCATCCAAAACAATAAAATTTAATACTTTAATAAACATAAGTGAGAGAGAGAGAGAGGAATACGCCAACTAAGAGAGAGAGAGGACTTGTTTTTAGGGGAACAAGTGGTTGGGACATGGGACATGCCTAACTTAACTCATTGCCGTTTAAAGGTCACCATCTAAGCAAAGCATATATTATTCTTTAAAACACATCAATCTACGTCATACATTTATTTATTACATGGCCAAGACGCGCTCTTTTTCTTTCCAAATGTGGCCAAAATAGAAAATAGAAAGTCCTCTTCAATCATTTTTAGTTTTCTATACTAGAAGGTTTCCCAACCACTAATATATATCACTTCTTTTTTTTCTTTTCTTTTGAATGTTATATATATATATATATACACTTATTAGCAAAAGTTTTCTGCTTGGCTATAAGAATCTCCCTCTCTCTGCCTCTCTCTCTCATTGATGATATATTGAAAGTGTTTGTAAGGATTTGCAGCATTTGGCTCTCTCTCACTGATGATATATCGAAAGTGTTTGTAAGGATTTGCAGCATTGGAGAGGGAAAGGAAGGATGGATTGTTGTGTGTGCAGTCCATTGGCAGGCAATTTTAGGCCCCCAAGGAACACCCTTTGCAAGAACTGCTTTGATGGAGCATGGTGCATCTTGAATTTCCTCCAAAAGCTTGATACCACCCCACAAAATCAACCACTTGATGATGAGGCAGCAAAATCAAGAAGTAACACATCAAGGATCATGGCTTTCCAGGTAGGTACATGAAAGAGAGAGATTTCAATTTGGGCCATTTGGTAATACACCGGGATCGTGGGTGGTGAGGTCAAGGATTCGAAAGGGCAGGCAGGAATTTCGAACTAACAAAGTTTGTACCATGCATAAAAGTGAGGAAATTTGCATAAGGATACCGGTCCGAGGTTCACAACATCGGATCGGTTCTTTTTTTCGGTTTTTTTTTAAATTTTCTCCAAATTTTCAATTTTAGAATATCGGACATAAAAATTTATTTCGTTTTTTTCTTTTCTTTTTTTTTTTTCTTTTTTTCTGTTGAAGGCCCGTCCAATATTTCAATCCTTGAAAAGACCATTTTGTTCAGAGCCTAGGTTGTCCCATATTTCAATCCTCAAACAGTGATACAGGTGGTCTGTTTTGTTCCTTGGACCACCTTCTGTTACTTAAAAAATTATAGCAGTCCAAGCTTTTGAACCTCGGACCAATTGTTCTCCGTCTATTATTCTCGAACTGTGTTACAATATTTACAAAAAAAATATAATAGACTGTTTGATAGTTGAAATATCGGACACTGACTATAACAGTGTGTCCAAAGTTTTGTACATTGGGCAACCCTATATGCTTTCCCCACGGTATCGAGAGCCCAATGAATACAAAAAAAAAGAATTTTAGACCTGTCTGGTATCAAATGTAAAATCTGATAGCTTATGTGTGTTACAAATTTCAAAAAATTTCTTTTGAAATTTGAGCTTGGTCAATGAAATAAATACAACCATCTAATTTTACATCCAACGATCAAGATTAATGATGACCACATTGTCCTCAAGATATCATTGGACATTTTTCTAACTATTAAAATCATTAGTCAGAACGGGAATGATTGTTTGAGCCCAACTCTTCTAGGGCTTAGGTGAGTAGTGCCTATTGTCTATTTGTCATAAAATTTGTTGGAGGGCGACGTGCACTCATTGCCAAACTTAGGGCTGTTATCGGGATGGGCCTAACCATTTTCTGACTGGCCCGAAATCATGTAAGGCAGGCCCAGCCTGGGCCTGACAATTAAATTCTATGGCCTGGCCCAAAGTCTTGCCTACTAGGACCGAAACCCAAAAATGCGGCTAGGGTGGACCGGGCCTATTATAAATCTAAGAAAATCTCCATTTTGAAAGATTGTGAAAATTTCAGGCCAGCGTTCGGCCTAAACACACACGGGTCTACAGCGCTTGATCTAGGCCCAGCCTGAAAGCCCGCACGCCGACCTCGACCATTAGCACGCCTAGTAAAACTAGATGAATTACGTTCACTTACCAAAAAAACTTGGGTTCATTACAAATATCCACCAAACTAGGACGTGTTATGATAAATTTTAGATAAAACAACATTAAAAATGATCAATTGTCTCTAAAAATTAATCAGGTAGTTAAATAAATAAATTTCCCAATATAGTCAGTTTTAAAACTTCTTTCATTTAGATGCCTCTTCTAGAATTTTGTCAAAACTGCCCAAATTTACAATTATTCCAAGTTTATAAGTCTCAAGCGCGTGAGAATTTTGGTAATATGAACCACAAAAGTCCTTTAAGCCCCTTGTTTCCAAGTTTAACATATTCTTTTATTAAGAAACCTTGTCTAGGGTTTCTATCCTAGAACTAGTTGGATGCATTTTGGTAAATGCGTTCTACGTCAATTGCTCTAGCAAAAGAAAAATATTAAATTTTTTGGTTTCCAAATTTAAAACATACATTTTTAATTAAAAGAATATGTCCCACGTTATGAATTCAGAACTGGGCATTTATATTATGGGTGCAGTTTGCATACGGACACATCCGTAGGTGTAGAGGTAAGGTGCACCTTCAAATTTTATCATGGTATATAATTTTGATGTAAAATGTTCTTAGGATTATCTCAAAATCTATTTTTATATCTATTTATAAAATTTTAAACTTCAAAAATGATTAAAATCAAGTAGATATATAAACATATGAAAATCTTGAAAATGGACGGTGTAGATAATATGTTGAAACTGCACTATTTCTGAGACTTAAAATCTTTTTATTTTTCATAGTCATACATCTTGATGTCGAGATGATCAATCAAAGGGTTTTTCAATATTAAAACCACCTTTTCCGATAGATTTTTGAAGGGCATACATAGTTCTACATTATAAGGTAGCATCCTTATATAAACTTTTCCCTTATATTATTTGGCTCAAGTATCATAAGTGACAACGTTTACAAAATATCATATCTTAATTGAGGTTCTAAACTATTAAAATAAGAAGTTTGGGCATTTTCTAAACAATAGTTGAGGCGCCTAATTCAAACTGTTTTAAAATACTAGCCACCTCATGGATTTGTGACAAGGTTTGAACCATTTTATTAAAGTTTTCCTAAATTTATCCGGATTATAATATTCTCAAATATTCAAGAAAAGTAGAAGTTGCACTCTATATGAAAGGTTGGATTTTTCATGATATGCTTCATAAACAAAACATGATACTTTAATATGGCCATTGTTTTCCTTGTATAAGGGTGGCGATGGGCCGGGTTGCCTCGTCCACCCCTTCCCGGTTGGTTTAGCCTTAAAAAAACTAGGGCCTGGCCCACCAAATGTAGCCTAAAGGCCGAATCACCCCTGAGTGTTGTGGCCTAACGCTTGGGCCGGGCCTAGCTAGAGTCAAGACAGCATCAGCCGGGTTCAATTAGGCCAGGTCCTATTTCTCTATCTATTATTGTATATTTGTTTTTTGAATTTTACCCAGCCGGCCATGATAGTGTCAGGGCTGGGCATAGGTCCCCCATCTAGGACGGGGCAGGCCTGGGCCAGACCTCAGGCTAGCGCCCCCAGGCCAAGCCCGTTGCCAGCCCTATCCTTGTTGAGAAGAATGTGGTTGAACAGCAGTTTTATTTTGATGATCTCTGATCTTATTACCCTGTGCTTTGGTCATTTATACAGGGGCTTTCTCATGCCTTCAATCGAATGAAGGAACTAAAAGATGTGGTCGATAGTTTACATGCAAGAGTTGGGTTTCTAGAGGACTTTAAATTTGTTTTTGAAAATGCAATTCACACTGATATCTTGATCAAGCCAGCTGATGGACCTGCAATTCCTGCACACAAAGCAATTTTGGTAATTTTAGTTCAATTTTCATTACTTAAGCAGTTTCTTAGTTATATATTCCACTGATAAATTCATCAATTAGTAAATTATAATGGTGATTTCCCCACTTATATATTCTTATTCTTATTCATTCAAATATTCGTTTTTTTAAATTTTGGGTCACTCTCACTCCACTGATGGTGAGAGAGTGAGTCCCTGAAAGAGTTATTATTCCAATTGCAACTCATTCTCCGATGATCACTGCTCAACCCATTGATTGGACGGTAAAGGCCCTCTCTGATGACCGTGTTAGTATGTCCATATGGATCACAACATACCTTTCTTTTCATTTTTATTAATTTGAACTATAACGATGATTATGCATTTAGAATTTCTTCATATAAAAAATGCAGTTTTTTTAATACTTGTTAATTTTTACCCATCATTTTGATGGAAGCCCTTTTCTTTTGACGTCCATTTCTAAGATGGATGTCTGATGCACGAGGAGATGCACATGTTTTCTAAGATGGATGTCTGATGCACATGTTTTGGGGAGTCAACTGACTCGCCAAAACTGTGTCCTTTATCTTTCACACAAATTCCTGTGCAGGTACTCCTTAAGATCTAATGCTCTTTGCATTGTACAGGAATGTAAATTGGGAATTTATAGAGCTTTTAAAGAAAATAAATTTTTATAATAGCTATATCAGTGCTACTGGACTCGCTCCAGTCCAATAGGTCTAAACAAGTGAAAATCTACGACTCAGGGCACATAAAGAAAATTAAAAAAAATCAAAAAAGTTGGAAAAAAAAAATGGGAATGTTGTATAAATTTTTTGTATATGATTTGGATGCTTTTGCCAAATATTGGTGCACATTTTATTTGCCACAACTTTTATTTTTATATTTTTTTGGATTTTTTAAATATCCTCCCAGCTATAAATCGATTTTTTAAATCTATTTTCCTATACTTTTTAAAGTTTATTTGGACTTTTTAATGTTGTTCTTGGTTTTATTTGGACTGTTTTAAGGTTGTTGTGTTTTACTTTTGCATCCTCTGTTGGTTTTCATTTTTTTATTATTTTTTTAACTTTTTTCTAGGGCTTTTTAGCCTTGTAGAGGACGTGGGTGAGTCATACTCTCGTTGTTGTTTTCTTCTTCTCTAATTAACACCAGATTTATCCAAGTTTCATATTCATGACAAGAAGTTATGGAACTTGATATAGAACCTTCAATAGATTGGAAATAATTGTACAATCTTATTGAGATAAATATAACTTCCTTAAAATATTTTTATATGTAATATTGAATTGGTCTTGCTTTTGGAGAGCTCTAAATAATGATCTCATAAATGCAAAAGAAAATAAATTAATCAAGAAGCAGCACATAATATCATAGGTACACATTTTAGAGGGAAATAATAAGTATTTTCTTTTCTTCTTTTCTGCTTTTTGTTTTTGTTCTGTAGGCATCAAGATCTCCAATATTTCGAACCATGCTAGAAATCGATGAATGTAAAGCACCACCAACAGAGACCATCACTCTTCCAGATCTGAACCACCAACAACTCCACTCTTTGTTACAGTTCCTGTACAATGGGAGCTTCCCTGAAGAGAAGATTCAAAAACACGCGGAAATACTCTTAGTTGCAGCTGACAAATACAACATTCCCTTTCTTCAAAGACAATGCGAGCTTCAGATACTTCGGACCCTCAACTCAACGAATGCCCTTAATATTCTTGAGTTGTCTGAGACATGCTCTAATGAACCCCTTAAGGAGACTGCCTTGAACACTATCCTGAAACATCATGAAGAAATACTCTTCTCTGAGAGATACGATGAGTTTGCTTTAGCAAATACACGCCTTTCTGTGGAGGTTACTAGGGCCCTGTACAAAGCCCTTAAGGCAAAAGCCAATATTTCAAGCTTGAATTCTTGTTGATGCTAGTTCTTCAATAGCTGTGAATGTACGTGATTCTTTGACTAATATTCTTCTAACTCTTTTTATTGGGTAATTCTTAGGAAAATTTGCTTAAGGCTCATAAATAATTTGTGGAATTACTCTGTAGTCTAAATTTTCCAAGCCCAAGGCCTTTTTTCCTGTGGTTTTTTTAGTCCAATTGTCACCGATTCGATGTTGTAAATATCAAACCACTTTTTATTTCTTTTTTTATTTTTTTCTAATCTAAGGAAGTCTGATGCCTCAAATTTGTTACCACCCCATTGGTTAAGATGATCAACAGCTTCAAATAATGCCAAATGGAAATTGCCTAGGGCACAGTTTGGGAAGTCCACTATGCAAGACTATTTTTAAAAAATTTAAACATGCTAGTGCCCCAAGTCCTCTGCAACATGGTTATTCCTTTTTAAAATTTTGAAGCCCGTTGTATGAAAAATGCATCGAGTCCCAAAATCCAACTAGCATCACAGGGAAAAAAAATAGTAATCAGAAATTCATGTATGGCTATTGAAAAAGATGGTATTACGGCATGGTTTAACTTTTAGGCCATATTACATCGTAGTCCCCTTTTTTTATGAGTTCTTCTTTTCTCATTTTACCCTCTAACTGCAAGCAAAACTTTTCCAACTGCCTGAAACACTTTCTAGCCGCTTGGAACATGCATTTAGGCTATTTGAAAGTCTAATTTTCAGACAACTTAATATACAAAAATTGATGTGTTTGTGCAGTAAGAACGTGTTAAGTTTTGTACCGTCTAAAATATAAAACAAAAAACTAAGTATTAGACAATTTTGATACCAAGTGTTCAACCACCAAAATAAACAACTGTCTTGTGCTATCGGCAGTTTCAAAATTGAATATTGAAATTGATCAAATATATCAATTTTTTCATGATTTGGCAATATAAATGTTTTAGTTTCAAATTGAGAGCAAATTAGTAATAAAAAAGTTGAAAAAATTGATATATCAATTAAATAATGACCAAAATTTGGACCAGGTGATAATATCCCATCTTTTTTCCATTCTGTACGTAATTTCTAAAAGTCAAATATTTTGTTTGCTAAATTGGGAATCCCGACTTCCTACGTCACTTCACTCCAACTCGGGCTTAGTGTATCTAAGGTTGCTCAGACCGTGTTCTAATTGAAATTAGTTGTTCAAACCGGGCTAACCCTGGCCCAAGCACGAGCTTGGCTTGAAACAATGTTTTGGTAGGCCTCGACCCAACCCGAATTCATGGTAGTGAGGCTCGAGCTCAAAAAAAAAAAAAAAACAGATTGGGCCTTAAATGTAATAAGGGAAATTTTTTATTTTTAATACAACATATATACTTAAATACTTTCTGGCCAGGTCTGCTGGCCCGGTTGTGGCCCAAAAATACTTCAGGCCAAAAATGAGACCTGAAGGCCGGCCCGTAACAAACCTGTGTATTTCTCAAAGGGATTGCGGAGTTACTATTTGGTGTCAATCTTATATAAAAATTTCCCTAGAATTTTTTATTTATAAAATGAAAGGAAGACTCTCAATATTCCAACTTTTTGAAAGGAAGACTCTCAATATTCAAACTTCACTAGGACTTGCCCGTGGCCAAGCCAACTACTTGTGGTCAACTCAAGTATATTACAAATATAAAAATAAATTCGTTGGATCAATTTTTACAAGGTTAGTTTTTGGGTCAAATGCCCCCATTTTTGTATATCTTCATTTTATTTTTCTAAAATGGTTTTAATGCAGATCAATTTTTCTAAACCTATTATTTTTATACTTTTTTTGCTGATTTCGATTCCTTATGAAACTTTTAGTTTTGTTCCATTTTTTAAAGTTTTTATCTTAGTTTGAGTATTTTTAAAAATTTTGTTAATATGTTTTAGGCTTCTTGGGCCAAAACTGGATCTAAAGCCGAGCCAAGTTTAAAAACATTAGTATAACAAGAGAGAGGTATACAAGGATATCGAGGTTTTAAAAATCACCGATTTGGATCGGAATCATCCGATCTGGATATGAAATCATTATACCCGATGGGGTTCCCACATATATTGGGAAGCGGCCGACTCTCCTCTTGAACCAGTCGGCTTTCTGAGAGAAATGGCTAGTCCTTTCAATGTCGGTCAATTATGTGAGACCAGAACCATTTGACAGTAGGCTGCCACATGTTGTTAGAGGTTGTAGACACCCCATTTTTAAAAATTGATAAATTTCATGTTTTTCTTAATCTTATATAACCCTGAACCATAGACCATCGTAGTTCATGATCGCCATTTCAGTATATAAAAATACATTTTCATGGCTCTTTTAGGGTTAGACCATCTTAAGCTAAGAGAGAGCTGGAAATCCTAGACTTGTAAAACATGAGCCTTGGAGAGACTAGAGAGAAAACCATGAGAGATCCTAGATCTAGACATGTTCTAGCCAAACCCTAGCCATTAAACTTGCAACCTTAAGCTTAGACCAGGTCCAAGATAACCATTCAACCAAACCAAGGCTTGGTCAATATTAAAGAGAGAAAGATGATCCCCAATGTAAACATAGCCGCCACGGTCCTGATACAGGCGATGCCTTGGAGCCTCGAATTTGCCGGGCCAACTGGCCCTGCCAAGTATTTTTCTCATCATATTTTCCTTTATTTTTCAGTTATTTTCTTAGATCTAGGATTTTATTCTTATTTGATTCAATATTTCATGCTTTTGGATTTCTCATCATTGTTTCTTTTATTTTTCAGTTATTTTATTAGATCTAGTATTTTATTCTTATTTCATTCAATATTTCATACTTTTGGATTTCTCTTTCTCTTTTTCTTTATTTTTTCAGTTATTTTATTTGATCTAGGGTTTCGTTCGCATTTCATTCAATATTTCGTATGTTTGGATCTGTGCTAGCAGATCTATTCATTTTTTTTAGTAGATCTGACCTCATATTAGAATTCGAACTTTCCCCACTCTCTATCACACTTTTAAAAAAATCAGTTGGTGGTATGGATCTAAGTGATCTTCCTCCGAAGATCTATCCGATTGCTTAAGATCTATCCAATTTGCACTGTAAACAAAAGTTTTTGAACTACTGCAAGTTTTAAAATATATTTTAAAAAAAACGGTGGCAGTCCCACCGAACTTCATGGGAAGCCATGTACTTACTTACGTCATCTGACAGTTTTTCCCGATGTTGATTGAGCACAACTCACCAACTCCCAACTCAATGTGGCTACCAATTACACATTCTACTATATGATTACTTTTTCACAAAGTGTTAATACTTTTTTGAAACCCTGATGTAAAATGTGTTTTTCTTTTTGTTTCTTAACAATCGCATGGAATGAGTTTGCTAAATAGGCGCACTATAGCATATTTGCATGAAACGAAAATATTTTGGGACATTTAGCACTATTGCTTTTTTGGGGCATCGAGTAACACTATTGCTTCACTCTACGGCACGAAATGATTTTGTTTGGGACATTTTAGCACTATTCCATTAACGAATAAACTTTTTGGGTGTTGAATAACACTATTGCATGAGACATTTAAAATGAATAAATTGGTTAAAATAAAAATTGCAAAAAAAAGAAGCTAAAGCATTTGGTGTAAGAAAGCAGAAATGGAGGCTCATAGCTTTTTCCCTAATTGTCATTTTGATTTAATAAAACATGATAGCTCATTGTGGGGTCATAGGATTTGTTTCTATCTATTAACTCAATTGGTCCAAAACTATTGTAGGATTTTTTTTTTTCTTGTTTATTTCACTATAAAAATTTGAGTTATAGATATCCATTTTATTGTAATAAGTTGTATTTTAAATCTTATTTTTACCATAAAATAAATGTAATAAATAACAAACTCTCAAATATGAGACAAATTTTCAATATTTATGTATTTTTAGTAAAATAATTAAAGGCTATAACGCAATACTATAATTTCTTTGAAAACCAAAAAAACTAGATTTTAAAAAAATTATAGGAATTTTTTGAATTTTTTTAACGTTGGATCTTGTTGATCCGGCCGATTCTCCAATCCAGATCGCCGATCCACCAATTCGACATAGTTTTTTAGGTGGCCAATCTGCGTCACTGATCATAAGGACAATAGTTAATACATATGCCACATGCAATAATTCTTGGTTTTCTCTATCCCAAGAAGTTAGAAATTCACATCTCTCTCTCTAGTGCTAGCAATGGGTTGGGCACGGCTAGTAACAGTTTGCCCGTCTCTAAAACAGTAGGGCCTGGGTCAGGAACTGTGGCTTGAGAGTCAGGCTGCGGGGAGAGCTGGCTCGACCCAATACTCTTTATTTCTTGTTTTTCTTTTGTGTTTTCTTCTTTTGTTTTCCCTAGCCCGGAATGACCCAGCCCCAGCAAGTCCAGAGCCGGACCTGAGCCTAAGGCCAGGCTTGTTGTTACCCTTACCCTTGGGTGGGGCCGGGTTAAATTTCTTTAAAAAGTAAAAATGAAAAAGAAAAAAAAAAAGAAGAAGCAAAGAACATGAGAGGAGAGCTGGGCTGGGCTGGGCTGGACTGGGTCCGCCCTGTAATGGCTAATGTAAGAGCAAACGGAGCACCACAACGATTTGAACCAAAAACTGGTGAAGTGGCAGAACAGACGTATTCTCTGGTGCTTTTTGCATTATTCATTGGAAAAGGAAAGGACACCACTTTTTGCATTATTCATTAGTAAAAATGGAAGTTTGGGGGAACTGTTAGGTCCAGCTCTAACTGGGGGACAGAAAAGACGTTTTCTGCTGCACTCTTTTGTATTATTCGTTAGTAATAAATTTTTTAGGCAACTTAATAGTTCGGTAAGAGAGTAAAAGAAGGTTGCTTTATTCGATACTCCCTCTTGCAAACGGTCATACCTCAAGCAATCCTTCAACGAGATTTTGCAGCCAAGATAGTGACATTCCGGCAAGATTTCGGCCAACAAGGGGACATCCCGGCTAGATTTCAGTGTATTATCTTTATTTGCTTTAATAGTTATTACTTTAATATGGAAAATACATAAATAAATAAAAAATTTGTGTTTTTTACCTTGTTGGATTAAGGAAATTGCGGTTTTACAATTTTAGATTGTTTTGTTTCAAAAAATGGGTACTGCCCTCACTGAATTACTCAACCAAAAAAAAAAAACTCGAATTACATCAAAATTAAGGCAAGTACTG